ACTATCATTGATAAAACTTCTCACCTCCAGGCAAGAAAGTCCATGAGACTCTTATCTCCAATAAACTACTCAGAATAAGCTGGAGGTGGCCCTGTGGCTCAAGTGGTAGAGTGCTAGCCTTGAACAAAAGAAGCTCATGGACAGCACCCAGGTCCAGAGTTTGAGCCCCAGAATTGGCAAAAACCAAAAACAACAACAACAAAAAAAAACTTCTTACAGAAATCATGTACTATGTATTTTACAAGGTAATGGAATATTTGTGACAAATTTGAAAAACTGGCTTGAAGGTTTTGTGGTATTTACCTTTTGCTTTTTATGTCTTTCTTAAAAGTGAATATATATTCTTTGACAGTATAATATAAGCTTGTTACACATTTTCATTCTCAAATGATGGAGAAACTTGCTACTTAGAGCATGCCAATAACAGCTTTCATATTGCCTGGGATATTTGCAAAATGAGGATGCTTGGGCTCCACCCCAGACTTCCCAAAGGAATCTATACATTAGCCAGATCCCTGGTGAATTGTACGGTCAAACACTTTCAAGAATCATTAACATAAAGGAATGTTCTTGATCTACCCCACCACAAAGCAAACCTTAAGAAAAGACTGAGTTACCTTAATGCAGAATATTGTCTCAAATATTCAACCAGAAGGGTAACAACTTTTAGACATGATCTACTTTTTAAAAATAAATAAATAAACTTGACACTTTTCCATCTTGTAAGAAGCTTGAGAATGAGAATATGTGAAGTAAACTAGCACAGGTTATGTAAATTAAACTCACACGGGTTACAGAAATACTTATGAACTGCTTGAATGGATTGTATACAATTTTCCATTGTCTCCAACAGAAAGTCTTTCCTTTAGCAAAACATATACAAAATATTACATTGAATTATAAAAAACATGGCAATCACCTTGGTAAACAACTACTTAATGACTAAGTAGAGTCATTTGGAAAAGAATTTATGTCCATCCAATGATGAACACATTACTATGATGAAATCTAGTTTTACATCCTCTGGAAACCTTTTCTCAAAGGAGTTCAGCCAGGACTGCAAATGGTTGCTTTTCCTCAACTGTCTCTGAGCAAATCAGTATCAGTGCTAGAGGACAAACGGGGATGGACAGAGTAGTAACTTCCACTTAGTGGATGACAAGAACTGGGGCTTTGGGTGTGATTAGAGAGGGGAAGCTAGCAGGATAGAAGGAAGGTGGTTCCTGTATTAGTAGCTGTTAAGAAATCCTGAGGTTCCACTGAAGCAATTCACTCATACAAGGCAAATGAAGGAAGGCCACCTCTGACCTTGTGCACCTGCTATACAACTTCCAGGCTACTTCTGTTCCTCCTGAAGGGTTTCCTTTGACATTGCCATGAACTTGATTCTCCCTGTCACAGACTATGAAGACAGTGAGATGAAGAAGAATTGGTTGTGCCCATGCGTCTTCCCTGCCATTCTAGAGAGAGGTTCCAGAGATGAGCTAATACCAGCTCTACCTCCCCCCTCCATAGTGACTTTCTACTACACTTCCAAAGGATGACACATACTGTTGCATGATGTATCCACCCCCTGCCACTCTCCGCTCTGGATCACCTGTCTTCCTGTCCTTCATCTCACCTGCCATCACTTTTGGAGATGAAAAGCATTCCAGTTCAGAAAGAAGAAATGCAGATGCTAGGCTACTCCCAATCAAGGGCTCTCATCAAACCAGCATGACCAAATGTGCTCAGCAATTACCATCAGCAAGCAACAGATAGGCTGTACATCACTCACTTCTGCATCTCCAGTCCTACAAATGCTTGTCAATGGAACCTCCCTCCAAGACCTCTTATACAAAAATTTATTAAATTATATGATGCACATGAAAATAGATAAGGAATCTGAATGTATTCATTCAGACATATGTTCATTTAGTCTTTTGCCAAATTTAGTGGGGTTTTTTCCCCCTTTGTTCTTCTAGCTAGAAAGTTCAGTTTAAAGAGTATTTTGTAGTAATGTCACATTTCCAATGGCATCTGCACAGGGCAGAATCTAGTCTTCTACATCAGTGGCCAATGACAGAAATGATCAATGCATGGCCGGCAGCAGGGGAGTTTCTATACTGAAGAAAGAAAAACTGAAGACTTACTTTTTCATGTTCTTTTCTAGCCTTTAGGCTGGAAGGGCATCCACAGAGTGATCCATCTCATCAACAGCACTCAGATTCCCTCTCTCCACTTCCTTATCCTAATGGTAGCTCTAGTCACCAGAGACAGGGGACCCAGGTTCAAAACAGTTGTAACTTTGTTTTGCATCTTCCATAATAAAGCACATGGGAGGGTCAGCAGAGAACACTTTTAGAGGGTTTTTCTATATCAGCTGGTCCTCTCATTATCACAGTAATTTCTTGGTTATCTCATACAAATTTACAGAGTATAAATACAAAACTTGTTTTGTTTTGAGACAGAGTTTTGCTCGGTCACCAACGTTACCTATGTAAATCCGGACCTCTTATCTCTGCCTCCGGAGGGCTGAGATTCTAGGCGTGCACCACCCTTTCTGGCTCTAAATACAATCTTAAAAAAAAAAATCAAGATAGCATTGTTAATGGCTTATCTATGAGTTGTGTAATAAGGAAAATTCAACTCTCTAAATAAACTGCTTTGAAATCAACACATATCTTAAGAAAAAAAAGCATATTCACAAATACCACTAGTTTCAAAAACACTTCCTTTACTATATATGAATATATGGATGATAGAGCTTATTTAATGACCCCATTGGAGAATACAGATGTTTACATCGATTCCTGCCTAAGAGTTCTTGCTTCATTTAACTTTCTAACATAAAATAAACATTATAATTTCACACATTTTCTCTCCCTTCATCCTTTATTTTAATGCATATATATTTCTATCCTCAACCAACTTCAGCAGTAGCTTTTAAAATAAGTCTCCTCAATCAGCATTGATTATCTTTTGCTTAGAGACTCTGTCTGAAGCCAAGTCCAGTGTTCATTTCAAAAAAAAATTTCAAAGTACTAGAGAGCTGATCCTATTTTTATATGATAATTTAATTATCCTATTAAACATGGAATCTTGGATATCCCCATTTTTAAAAAAAATTTCTATTTTAAAAGAAATGTTCTGAGAAACAGGAGCTTTCTTTTATAAGCAATGAAATTAAAATTTAAAACTTGGTGTCAAAGTTTGCCCTTAAAATTTTTGATAACTATTCATGTCTGGATGTTAAAATTATCTCATCATTCATACGAAATCATCATTTAAAATTTTATCTCAGTTATAATTTTTCAATTTCTTCTAAAGCATAATTCCTATTTTTGACTGAACAATTAAATGAAAAACCTGACATTCATTAATTATATATCTCTATGGCCTTCAACAATGAAAGTTAATTAGGGCACAAATATTCCTTAACACCAAATGTGTCCATGTTAGTTATCTTGGTGATTCATTAGAGGGCTCAAGTTAAGTATGGAATCCAAAGTAAACACAAGATTCTCTTGAATAGAAAGACACCATCTCGGTGACAAGCCAGCCTTCAGCTAGAGAATACAGGATGTTGAAAGTCACCATATTTAAAGAGCAAAGACATATAATGACCAAAAGCTTGTAATAGCATTTGAAGTCATGTCTTTGTTCTCACTACTATGTACAAAGAAATCTGTTTGCTTACGCTAGTAAGTAAACCATTCTAAAACCCTTTCACAGTACTAACATACGTCCTGTGTAATCCTGACTTTAAATTCTGATCTTCATTATCCTCAACACCAGCCATCTTGAAGTCTTTGGTATTTTCTTAAATATACCTTTGGCACCTAGTTTTCCCAATCGGTTTTACCAGTTCATGGCAAGTCTTTAAATGATATGCTTCATTGGACAAAACCTCCAGACATAGAAGTCACACATCTCACTCAAACCTCAAAGAACATTATGAATCACTTCCAACAATCTCATGAATCCATCTGGCTCATTAAATACTAATCTTTCAATTCGTAAAATAGAGGGACTTATCTAAATTTCACTACCAAAGGCATTCTGAAACATGTCAAACAATGAAAGCTCAACTATCATACAAAAATCAGTGCAAAGTTCCATCAGGCAGCCTTAAATGCCTTCTTAGCTAGAAGAAGAAATAACACTATGGAGAATTTCTATTGTTCTTACCAATTTTTGCACACATAAGGTTTCAAAAAAAAAACCCTAACAACCCATAAAAACTTCTTTTAATTGCCTACCCTTGTCCTGAGCTTACAGCCTATGAAAAAATAACATTATAAATAAAATTTAAACTCTTAAAAACCCAGCACAAATTTTAACCAACTCCTCGAACTTAAAGATAATCCCATATGCATTTACTAGTTTATGAAATTCTATCAAGACCCACCCTCCCCCCCCCAAAAAAAAAGAATAGAATGGACAGTGTGGAGTACCCAGTTGTTACATTCAACAAGGGAAGGTACAGTGAGCACTTGCTCATCCTAAACTGTCAGTAGTGGTAAAAGGAGAATGACATGGAACAATTATTTGGCACAATGCTTGACCAGCCAAAACATTTCAGAAAGAATTAACATTTCCCCCTGGATCCTATAGGAGATAAGATTCCATCCAGTCTTAATCTTCAGAGAGACTTAAGATGAGTGATTTAACGTTTTACTTTTTGGTACTCTTTTAGTAAGAGTGGTAGAATTTGGAAATGGGGTAAGGGTAGGGTTAAAACTTTTAATCATTGTAACAGCTTAACACAGATCCTTTTCTACACGCCTTATTATTATTTTTTCAATCTTGGCTTCTAACACACCAATTGACTGCTTTATGATACGTGGACATATTTTCAACTCAATTTGCTGGTACTAAGGATGGCTGAGAAAGTACCCCATGATTCTCCCCCCACCAGCTGAGCATGCATCTTGTCTTTGATATCAAGTGCACTGGTCATTAGTGCCTTATATGAATAACTTCACTATTAAAAGTTCAGGCATTTAGAAACAAACTAGCAATGGACTTAACAGTTACTTTAATTCATTTTATAAATAAGCAACTGAGAATTTTGCTCCAAGGGGCTGCCTGTGTAGCCCATTCCATAAATTGCATTCTCTGAAGCATAAGGCACAATATGGTACGAATGTAGCTCTTCGTAATAGAGAGACTGGGAACAGCGTTCCTGTACCATAAACTTCAGCCGTTTTCTTGTATCAGAATAAGCAGTCTTATAGCAGGGAGCTTCCTTAAAGTATTCATAGCGCTCTTTCTCCGTCTCTAGATGGAGTTTCCTCAGCAAGTTGTTAATTAACACAGACCTTCTTAAGTAGGTTTCTGGATCTTCTAGAAACCTGAGCTTCTCTAGAGAAAGTTTGAGAATGCAAGTCCTGTCTTCGGGCAGTATCAGGTGCTGCAAAGTAAACACAATCTTTTAAAATGAAAACTAAGAATACAGTCAAGCATTCACAGTACATGCCACAAAATTCAGAAAGTAAAGGCAGTGGGGTAAGAATGGTAAAGGGCTGACATTGATAAGATGCATTGGATTCCTAAACTGCTTTGTTATATGGCACCTCCTTGGTACAACTCCTAAAGATAATAAAAGCATTTAAAGAAAATGAAAACTGGAGCTTTTTGCTATTGATGCCATTCATAATTAAAAAAAAAACAAAATACATTCTTACTTTTGGAAAATACCCATGGTAATCTTGATGTAAATCTTCTTCTTCTGCATATTTTCTCTTAAAGTAGGCTACTTTCGACGTTGTTAATGAATATGTTAAGACTTTTCTTGGATAAGCTAAACAAAATAAGTAGAAAAAAGTCAGATGTAATTATGGCAGAGTAGTTTATAATATAAACTCTATTTGTAAAAAAAAGGAATTCAGTAACCTAGAAATTGCTACCTTCTCCTCGCTGAACAACCCAGGAATATGGTCATTGTCCACTGTCCTGCAACTGAAAAGTCTTTGGTAGACCCAAAATGGAATGTCTGGGTTTGGAAAGTAAGATTGGTTTTCTTCTATAGCCCTTCAGAAGTCAAACACTAACACTCTTTTAAATTCTATGCCTTTTAATAGGACGGTGAGACTGATGTACAAAACATGATCAGAGAAGAACTTCTTATTCTGTCAAACTGCCTAATGCACAGTGAATATTAATATGGCTAGGCTATTCCAACCCGCATAAAATGGTTGGTGACACAATTACACTTTTAAGAAAACAACTATCTATGGCTAAATCTTTATGAACATTGTTACGGCATAACTATCATCCTAGCACAGCATGCGGCTTAATGGAAATCCATCATAAGCAAATGAAGAGACTTGGGTAAGGTTTTGGCTAGTAAACTTGACTTTGGCTTAATCTGAAAGGGAAAATCTTTTGCTTTCTCCTTCAAAATACGATTGTTAATATACTGTACCAGAAACAGTGGTTTTCTTGTATCAGAATAAGCAGTCTTGTTGCAGAGGACTTCTTTAAAGTAGTTATAGCTCCCTTTCTCCATCTCTAAATGTATCTTCCAAGTTGTTAATTAACTTGTTAACTTATTTGTTTAAGAAAAGACAGAGTTCCAGAGTTAAGATTTCCAGAAATAATCCAGTGAAAGGAGTTCCTGAAGTGTCCTCTAGGTGGCGCTCAGACCACAAAAGGAGGCAGGATCAAAAAAAACAACAACAAAAAAAAACCAGCTTCCAATATATTCAAAGCAATGAATGAATTCTGAAGTCCAGTTCAGTGGATATTCAAGCTCAGGGCATCAGATCAGAAAGAAAGCGCATACTTAAACATAATTTATATTACCTTTAACATATACCCTCAACTATGTCTTCGTTGAAATCATTTAGTTCACAAAATAATGAGAGGTTGGCAATATGCTGGTGAACTGTACAGTAAGACATTTGATGCTTTTCCCCTAAAAATCTCTTATTTTTAAGTTAAATACTTAAAATATACTTCAAGCGCCTGACTTTGTTCGTTTTTCCTCTAACTTGACATCTGCATAAAGTTCCCTGCAGCTTTTTATAGCTAGATGGTTTTCCCCAACAAGCAGGGAAAGCTCAAAGTCACGCCTTGAAGCATTTCAAATTCTCAGTGGTGTCATTGTGGATTGTAAACTCAAGAGAACTTTAAATGACAGGGGTGTGTTTTGTTAGTGGAATCAAAACTCTTAAATCACTTTTGTGCCTGACCTTTAAAAAAAAAAAGGGTTAGGGAATGACAGCTGAAGCAAAATTAATGCTTGGTTTCTTGATGGTTGGGAGGGAGAACATACTGAGATTTGAACTCAGGGCTTTGTGCATGCTAGGCTAGTACCTTAACCCCTGCACTGTACCTCTAGCTCTGTTATAAGTATGCAACCCCTGAATCTAAAAAGCAAGACTCAACTTGGGTGGAATTTTCACTGCCTTCAAAGGGTTGGGGGGCGAGGGGAGACCAAAACAATGACTATATATGAAAAACAAGGAATGAAGGACTAAAGCCAGCTCTCTCTGGGTTGTCTGTAGCAAACTGCATTTCATGAGGAAGGATTTTAAAGTATTTAATGGAATAATTAGGTGATAACACTTTGTTTATCCCTTGAGATATTTATTCCTACTTCCTTTAGACTGTCTAATATAATAGCAGTTCTCAAATGTTGGGGAGCTCCTGGGGAGTTACCCGAAGGGCTCATTACACTAAATTGCTGTCTCCCCTTCCCCCCCCCACCCCCCACCTTTCCCCTCCATCCGGGCTTCAGTAGGTAATGGGAAATTTGCATTTTAAACAAATTTCCAGGCACTGACAGTGCTGTTGGTCTGGGAACCCCACGCTGGGAGCCTCAGAGAGCATTACGAGAGTGTACTTTAGTGCTACAAAAGCCAAGCTGAAGTCAGTCAATCAATTGATTGTCTTAAGATCGGAATGCCAAGTAACTGGCTTGATTGATTTTTTTTTTTTTTTTTT